ATCCGTAAGGGCTTCGCCCCCTGCCGCTGGCCCCCTCTCTCGGAGAATGGGCCATGGAAGAGCTAAGTCATGAGGCTTTGGCGCTGTCGCGCAGCAGTATCGGAACTTCATGCGAGGCCGATTCGCAATCGGCAAAACCACCTGATCACAAGAGGGGTTACCACACAGGGCGATTGGTAAGACGTGTATGGTTTACGAGCTTGGTTACCACACCTTGGGATTAAAGGGCCGAGGGAGTACTAGCAGTTTGGGTTACCACGCCTTGCGATGGATGTGCGTGAGGGGTGGCACCGAATTTCAGAAATGTGGCAAATCCCATGTGTTTTTGGACCCTGACCCCGCGGATCTGCGTGAGGGGTGGCACCGAATTTCAGACATGTGGCAAATCCCATGTGTTTTTGGACCCTGACCCCGCGGATCTGCGTGAGGGGTGGCACAGAATTTCAGAAATGTAGCAAATCCCATCTGTTTTTGGACCCTGACCCCGCGGATCTGCGTGAGGGGTGGCAGCCAATTTCAGAAATGTGGCAAATCCCTTGTGTTTTTAGACCCTGACCCCGCGGATGTCCGTGAGGGGTGGCACCGAATTTCAGAAATGTGGCAAATCCCTTGTGTTTTCGGACCCTGACCCCGCGGATGTGCGTGAGGGGTGGCAGCGAATTTCAGAAATGTGGCAAATCCCTTGTGTTTTTGGACCCTGACCCCGCGGATCTGCGTGAGGGGTGGCAGCGAATTTCAGAAATGTGGCAAATCCCTTGTGTAATCCCTTGTGTTTTTGGACCCTGACCCCGCGGATCTGCGTGAGGGGTGGCACCGAATTTCAGAAATGTGGCAAATCCCTTGTGTTTTTAGACCCTGACCCCGCGGATCTGCGTGAGGGGTGGCACCGAATTTCAGAAATGTGGCAAATCCTTTGTGTTTTTGGACCCTGACCCCGCGGATCTGCGTGTCGATTTCGAGCCCCCCCAGCAATTCAGACAACGCGCCCAGGGGGTGCTAAAAAATCCTGTTTGGGCCTCCCCCCCCTCGCGCGGTCAATCAACTAGTTACAGTAACCAGCAAGAAGCAGAACTGTAACACTGGAAACTACAAGCTACAACTGGTACTGGAAACTGCGAACCCGTGCCTACAGCCTGGTGGCCCCACAAGGGGGCCGGCGGATACTAATAATCGTACTAAGACTTATCATAATAGTAAGAAGGAGGAGGTGGAGGAGGAGGGAGGAGGAGGGAGGAGGAGGAGGAGGAGGAGGAGGAGGAGGAAGAGGAGGAGGAGGAGGAGGAGGAGGATGAGGAGGAGGGGAGGGGAGGAGGAGGCGGAGGAGGGAGGAGGCGGAGGAGGAGGATGAGGACGACGACGACGTTGCTGCCCCTCCTTGCGCGCCGTCCCGCAGGTGGGGCCTCCTCTTCAGCTGTGCGCGCCCGTTGGGCCGACCTGGCCGAGGAGGAGGAGAAGGAGGAGGATGCGGAGAAGGGGGTCGCCGAGCCGCAGATCGAGGCCAGAAGGAGGAGGACGAGGAGGAGGGACGAGGAGGAGGAGGAGCGGGGGGACGAGGAGGAGGAGGAGGAGGAAGGAGGAGGAGACGGAGAAGGAGGTTTTCGAGCTCCAGAGGGAGGGTCGGGCTGGACGAAAGGGTCGGATATCGGCGTCACCCCAGCATACTGATACTATGTGTGCGTCGCCCCCCCTCCCCCCCCCCAGGGGAGGCGCGCACCGAGGAATCGTGCAGCATATGCGTCGTGGCGGGCGCTTTCTGGCCACACCGCTCGGGAACCGGTTTCGGGTCGGAAGCGCGCCTCCAAGGAGCAGAGCACACCTAGTACCAGTGTGTCCTGGTGCGTCCCAGGGTCGGATAGGGACAGGAGGGGTGCAATTCCTGCCGCGTGCAGCCGGTTTCGGCCCCGCTGCGGGGCGGGTTCCCCGATAACAGGGGCGCCCTCTGGGCGCCTCCCGGCGCCAGGGGACGCCAGGAGGCGCCGGGAGAGCCAGCCACGCAAGCGGATTCTCTACCCTGCCCTCTCCCCATCCTACCGTCTCGTCCGCCCCGACAGGGGGACGATCGAGCTTCGAGGATCGAGGCTCGAGGTTTGTGCCGAAGGAAGCCGCACGGCATCTCCATCCGCTTTCGGAGTTCCGCGAGGATTTCTCGGATCGGCGCTGGGCCTTCGAGGATTGAACTTCGAGGATCTGCGTTCGCGGTTTCTGGCCGTGAAGATCGAGTTTCGAGGACCGAGTTTGAGCTTCGGGGCTCGATCGAGGCTCGGGGCTCGAACTCCGCAGGTTGAACTTCGAGGTTGGAGGCTCGAGCCTCGAGGATCGTGGTCTTCGGGCGTTCTGGGCCTCCTGGAGGCCTCCTCGGCTGGATTCCCCTTTCGAGATTCCGGCCAGAGCATACTCCAGGAAATGTCGGGCCCGACCTTCGGGGACGGGCGAGGTCTACACTTGGCAGGAGGAGGAGGAGGAGGAGGAGGAGGAGGAGGAGGAGGAGGAGGAGGAGGAGGAGGAGCAGGAGGAGGAGGAGGAGGGGGAGGAGGACCAGTGTAAACCCTAGACTCATCAATGATGTTGAAGTACACCCTCACTCCAAGATCCCTCCTCATAAGCCCCAGCAAGGGGTCATTTCCACTGAGGGAATTGTCCCGTTGGGGTGCCACCGTGTGAACATGTGGAAGCGTGCCAAAACACCATTCTCAGGACTTCAGCGTCACGAGTTGACCTGACTGTTACGTCTTGGCGATCTTGAATCGCACCAGAACGGCATTCCTGGGACTTCAACACCGCGAATCAACGTAACTGCTGCGCCCTGACAATCCTGAATCGCTCCAAAACGCATTTTTTGGTACATTAGCCAAGGGAGCCAGTGAAACTCTTGCAAGTGTTGAAACCGAGTGTGCGCGGTGCACAGGCGAGAGCCACATTTTGGACAGGAACCGCCCTCAATCCGTGAAGCTCTTGCGAATTCTTAGGACGAATGTGCGCGGCGCTAAGGCGAGAACCAAAACGACCCGCCTTCAATCCGTGAAGCTACATTTTTTAAAACGAATGCGCGCGGTGCTAAGGCGAGAGTTACACTTTGAAAACGACCCGCCCTCAATCCGTGAGACTCTTGCAAAGCTTAAGCACGATTGCGCGCGGCGCTGAGGCGAGAACCGCATTTTGAAGACGACCCGCCTTCAATCCGTGAGACTCTTGCAGACTTGTAAGCCAACGAATGTGCGCGGTGTTGAGGCGAGAACCACATTTTGAAAACGACCCGCCTTCAATCCGTGAGACTCTTGCAGATTTGTAAACCAACGAGTGTGCGCGGTTCCGAGGCGAGAGCCACATGGGGAATGGCGGGGCTCGCTTCGCTCGGAGTCTCCCGAGCGAGGGGAACCCCACACTCCCCCTCGGAACTCGTGGGGGGGGCAGGGGCAGGGTTCGCAGGTGGCCCCCCTAGAAGGCGGAGACGGGAAGGACCAGCATGGGAGGAGGCTGGCACGGCAGGCTCGACGCCCAGACGGCTGTCGCGCGTGACGCCTCCTCCTCCTCCTCCTCCTCCTCCTCCTCCTCGTCTCTCCTCGTCCAGTGTTCCCATCTGATGGCCTTCGGCCCCTCCCGCCGCCGTGGCCTGGAGCGTGGGCACGAAGCCTGTCGGATGCTCGTCGGGAGGGGTCCCGTGGGAGACCCCTCGGGGGCCTCTCGGAGGCAGTGCGGCTGCCCCTCGGGGGCCGCTCGAGGCAAGTTCCGCCGCCGTGCCAGTGCAGCATTCCTGTGTTTTGTGGCTCCCAGGCTACTGCAGCCTGTGACGCCTCTCGTCTCTGTTGTGGAGGCCTCGAGGCAGGCGCCGCCGACCCAGAGGGATGATGACGACGACCACGATGACAGCGGTAACGACGAGCTGATGACCCTGCCACAGGCTCGGGGCATGGGGCGGGCGGTGGAGGGAGGAGGAGGAGGAGGAGGAGGAGGAGGAGGAGGAGGAGGAGGAGGAGGAGGAGGAGGAGGAGGAGGAGGAGGAGGAGGGTGGAGAAAGAGGACGAGGAAGAGGAGTAAGAGGATGATCATGAGGAGGAGGGAGACCAGTGTAAACCCAAGACTCGTCAATGATGTTGCAAGGAACCCTCCCTCCAAGTTTCCTCTTCGTAGGTCCCATGCAGGGGTATGTTTTCACTGAGGGAAGTGCCCTGTTTGAAGACAATCGTTTGAAAATCTGGAATTCTGCCAGAGCACCATTCCTGGGTCGTCAACGCCTCGAATCACCGTTGCTGTTGCGTCTGGACGACCCTGGATTGCTCCAGAGGACCATTCCTTAGGCTTCAGCACCTCGAATCAACGTGACTCTTGAGGAGGAGGCAGGAGGAGGACAGGAGGCAGTAGGAGGACGCAGGAGGAGGACGGGTTGGAGGAGGCGGGATGGCGTCAGCGCCTCCCCGCTGCGAGAGGCCAGCTGCGGGGCTGCCTCCCGCGACCTTGACGCCGCCAGGCGCCGCCCCCCGGCGCTGCCGCCGGCCGCCGCCTCAAGCCTCAGTCCGCGGCCGCCGTCGCTGCCGACGAGGGCGATGAGGACGAGGACGAGGACGATGACGAGGATGACGATAACGATGACGATGAAGATGGAGATGTTGAGGATGATGATGCCGCGGATGATGATGACGATGACGATGACGATGACGATGACGATTCTACTGATAAGGATCTTGCTGCTGATGCTGCTGCGGCTGATGCTGCTGCTGATGATGATGATGATGATCATGAGGAGGGCAATTCTGATGATGATGATGCAGATCATGGTGGTGGCGATGATGATAGTGATGATGACTATGATGATGCTGTTGATGTTGTTGATGATGATGATGATGGTGATGATGATGATGATGATGATGATGATGATGATGATCAGGAGGATCATGATGATGCTGCTGATGATGATGACGGTGGTGGTGGTGGTGATGCTGAAGATTCTGACACGGATGACGATGACGATGGTGCTGACGATGATGAGGATGATGAGGATGAGGATGAGGATGAGGATGAGGATGAGGATGGTGATGCTGATGCTGATGATGATGCTGATGATGACAATGAATATGTTAATGAAGAAGATTACGATGCTGGTGATGATTAGGCTGATGACGATTTGATGATGCTGATGGCCATGATGAGTGATGATGAATGATAGTGACGATGTTGATGCTGATGATGATGATGCTGCTGCTGATGATGATGCAGACCTCGATGATGAAGATGCTGATATTGACGATGCTGATTAGGATGATGCTGATAATGATGATCACGATGACGATGATTCTGTTAATGATGAGGATGCTGCTATGATGATTCTGCTGCTGTTGATGCTGATGTTGATGATGATGCTGATGAGGATCCGGATGCTGATGACGTTGATATTGATGATGCTGACCACGCTGATGATCATGCCGATTCTGATGCTGATGCTGATGATGATTACTATGATGATGACGACGATCAGGATGATGATTATGCTGATGCTGATGATGCTGCCGCTGCTTCTGCCGCTGCTAATGGTGATGCTGATGACGGCGGTGATGATGATGATGATGATGATGATGATGATGATGATGATGATGATGATGACGATGATACGATTATGCTGATGCTAGTGGTGATGCTGATGATGATGATGATGATGCTGATGATGCTGATGATCATCATGATCATCATGATCATTCTGATGATTCTGATGCTGATGCTGCTGCTAATGATGATGATGCTGCTGATGATGGCGATGAGGATGGTAATAATGAGGATGATGCTGGTGATGCTGATGAAGCTGAGGATGATGATTATTATGCTGCTGCTGACGACGGCGCCGTCGATGATCATGATGGCCGCTCCCTTTAGTTTTTTTGAAGGTGCACGCCCGATGGGGTTGCGCAGGCGAAGGCCTTTTCGAGTCGGGTAGGGGCGGAGTCGGGGCGAGGAGGAGGGGGAGGGGATGGGGGAGGGGGAGGAGGAGGAAGGGGAGGGGGAGGGGGAGGAGGAGCCCAAGAGGTCCTGACCGCTTCCCCATGGCGTTGTTTTTCGTCCCGGATCCATTTCTGATGGCCCTGAGGCCCGACGACCGGTCCCCGAGGGCCGAAAGCGACCAAACACCGCTGGTGGAAGAAACAACAGATCTTCGGATGTCTGGGCCGTTCCTCCTCCTCCTCCTCGTCCTACTCCTCCTCCTCCTCCTCCATCCTTTTCTTTTTTCCTTACATATCACTCCTCCCTGTCGCACACTGAGACATTACGGTGGGGCGGGGCGGGCGTTTCGCTAGAGATTTCCCCACCATTTATGATCCTTGAGCTTAGAATTCACAACAGCTTCACGGATGGAGTGCGGGCCGTTTGCAAAGTGTGGCTTTCGCCTTAGCGCCGCGCGCATTCGTGTAACAAAAGGTGCATGCGTTTCACGGGTGGACGGCGGGTCGTTTTCAACATGTGGATTTCGCTTCAGCGTCGCGCGCACTCGTCTGAAATATATACAGGGTTTTGACGGATGGAGGTCGAATCGTTTTCAGAATGTGGCTCTCGCCTTAGCGCCGCGCGCATCCGCTTTCAAAGCTTGCAAAACTTTCATGGATGGAGGGCGGTACCTTTCCGAAACTTGGCTGATGCCTTCGCGCCGCGCACATCCGTATTGGGAGTTAGCAGCAGTTTCAAGGATTCGTACGGCTGACGCCCCAGAAAGTGTGTTTTGGCAAGATGTACGGCTGCCACGGCGCAACAGGTGCGTTGATTCTCGGTGTTGAAGTCCCAGGGCTGGTGTTCTGGGACACTCCGTGACCATCAGGACGCAACAGTAGCGTTGATTCGTTGCGATGAAGTCCTGGCAATGGTTTTCTGGCACGGTTCAGGATTTCCAGACGGTTGTCTTCCAACGGGGCATGCCCGTTGGAAGGCACTCGATGAAAAAGGGTGACCTTGGATGGAAGGTTGATTGCAGCATCGTTATTGGGTCTTGTGCTTACACTGGTCCCCATCCTTCTCATCCTCCTCTTCCTCCTCTTCCTCGTCCTCCTTCTCCTCCCTCCTCCCTCCTCCTCCTCCCTCCTCCTCCTCTTCCTCCTCCTCTTCCTCCTCTTGCTGCGGCACTGCTGAATCGATGACTCCGAAGCACGATCGCTCACAAACGCGGGAGGGAACGTGGAAGGCGATCATGTGCATCCTTCTCCTCAGCCTCCTCCTCCTCCTCCTCCTCCTCCTCCCCCTCCTCCTCCTCCCCCTCCTCCTCCTCCTCCTCCTCCTCCTCGCCCCCGCCCTCGCCGCCCTCGCCCTCGCCCTCGCCGCCCCGCCAGCGACTGCTCCACCTCCGCCGACGACGGCCTCGAGCCGCTCCGCGAGCGCTGCGCGGAGCTGCCCAGCGACGAGGACCCGTACCCAACGCTCGCGCGCCCTCCAGGGGGGGTTCTTCCTCCTCCTCCTCCTCCTCCTCCGGCCCGGCCCCCTCCCCTCCCCCTCCTCCTCCTCATCCTCCTGCCCCTCCCCCTCCTCCTCCTCCTCCTCCTCTTTCTCCTCCTCGTCCTCCTCCTCGTCCTCCTCCTCCTCCGCCTCCTCCATTTTTTTCCTTATCAATGATTTCTCCCTGTCGCACCCCGAGGCCAGTGTTCAGGGCGGGCCGGGCGTTTCGCCTGCGACTTCCTCACCATTCATGACTCTGAAGCTTTACAAATGACAACAGTTTCACACATGTAGGGCGGGTGGTTTTCAAAATGTGGCTCTCGCCTTATCGCCGCGCACATTCGTTTTAAACATTTTCACGAGTTTCGCGGATTGAGGGCGGGTGCTTTTCAACATGTTTCTCTCGCCTTAGCGCCGCGCACATTCGTTTTCAAACGTTGCAAGAGTTTCACGGATTTAGGGCGGGTGGTTTTCAAAAGGTGGTTCTCCCCATAGCGCGGCGCACATTGGTTTTAGATATGTGCAACAGTTTCACGGATCGAGGGCGGTTCTTTTTCAACATGTGGCTTTTGCCTTAGCGCCGCGCACATTCGTTTTACAAGCTTGCAACAGTTTCACGGATCGAGGGCGGTTCCTTTTCAAACTGTGGCTCTCGCCCCAGCGTCGCGCATACTTTGTTGGTATAAAAAACTTGCAAGAGTTTTGCTGTTTCCCAACATCAGCATACTAGAGATGGTGTTTTTGAAAGGATTCAATCTTAGGAGGGCGCAACAGTTACGTTGAGTCGCTGTGTTGAAGTCTCAGGAATGGCGTTCTGGCGTGATTCAAGATCGTCAAAACGCAACAGTCAGGTTGATCCGTGGCGTTGGAATCCCGGGAAAAGTGTTTTGGCAGGGTCTTCAAACGGCTGGTTTCCAACGAGGGAGTTCCCCCAGTGGAAATGAACAGTTCTAGGGGCCTACGTTATAGGGGCCTATGACGAGGGAGCTTGGATGGAGGGTTTATTCCAACATCGTTGATGACTCTTGGGTTTCCTCTGGTCCTCCTCCTCCCCCTCCTCGTCGTCGTCGTCGTCGTCCTCCTCCTCCTCCTCAGCCGTCCCAGGCCCAGGCGGGCCTTGTTGTTTCGAATTTTGGGACGGCATTCTGAGGCAGCGGGCCAACTTGGCTCTTTCTCGCACCCCCAGTCACGTTTTTCTTCCCCCGCAGTCTGCAGCCACGGGAGGAGGGGGGCGCTGGGGCCGCTGCAGTGGCAAGGGCGACCCAGGCACGCGCCAGCCCGACGGCAAGGGCAACGGTGCTGCGGACTGGAGCTCCGATGGCAAACGCGGATGGCTGGACCAGCCTTCACCGCCGCCGCCCCGGAGCACAACTCGCCCTCCCTCGCAGAAGTCGACGCAGCCAAAGGGATGGTGCTGTGCTTGGTGCGGGTGCAAGAAGAACATGGACGTGTGGAATGCCTGCAAGCATTGTGGTGAATGGAAAACGATTTCTCCGCCCCCAGATGCTGAGTCGGTGCTTGCGGGCAGCACCCATCTTCGCTCTTTTCCTCCTGCTCTTCGTGGCGCTGCTGGGTCTTCAGACACTAGCAACTGCTTGCATGTGGAGGCAGGGGGTGAACATGACAAGGAGCTCAGTGAGGATGGGTTGCAGAATTTGGTCCTCCTCGCTGAGAAGGCTGGAGATTTCACAATTGCCTCTCGATGCAGGAAGAAATTCGAGCCAGTGCGCATCACCAGCGAGCCCAGCCTGCAAGTCAAGGCCAACGCTCAAGGCGCGAAGGTTGCCGAACTGGAGTCTGCCTTGCAGGTCGAGCTTGGCAAGTTGGGCTCATAGCCCACATATTTTACGCAACGATCTAAGGTCGTGCAGGAGCTCGATGGGCGCCTCGCAGCGGCCGACAAACAGTATCAACATTTGGTCAGTCGGCTTGCTGGCAAACCCGAGACGACACCTGACGGTCCTCCTCCCCGCTTGTGCATCAAAGACGTGGTCGAGCAGGAGCGACCTCGTGTTATTGATGTTGATTTTTCAATGTTGACAATTATGAAATGGCGCCAGAAGATACGGATACGATCCAGGCCAGAAAGGACGAGCTGTACACCCAGCTGGCCCAGCTGCAGGAGTTGGTCAGGGGCCTCCTCAGCTGCGCGGTGGGCAAGTTTCAGGATCTCAAGAAGGATCAGTTTGAGCACATCCAGAGATTGGAGAAGAAAAGGAATATTGACCCTCGGCAGAAGTCTGCCCGCTCTCCCAGTGTTGCCCGAGGCGCAGGGTCGGACTCGTCAGCCCCCGAGGTCTCGTTCGCCACTTCGGCGACTCATGCCGGGGAGTCTTCGGCCCCTGCTGCAGGTGGTTGTGCTGCTGTGGCTGGCATTCGAGGGCGGGCTCGTGCGCGCGCGAAAGGAGGGCCACCAGGTGCGGGTTCATGTTGGCACCCCATCGCTGCCGCCCCGAGGCGTGGACTCGAGAGCGGGCGGCGAGGGGGGGCTCTACGCGCTTTTTAACCATGCCTTGCGGCAGTCTCCGTCGCCCAAGAAGCCACCAGCAGGTTGGATCTGCCTTTGTTCTGGGCCCTTTGACAGCGCGGGGAGGGGGCCGTGCCGGGGCCGCCCCGAGCCGGTGCATCCCGATGCTGCCGACGCAGCCGCCGCCCCCACGAGGTCGCCCCCACGTGGGCCCTGGTGCCGACGACGGTTTGGACGACGTGTTTGACGTGCTTGAGGGAGGGGGCGGGGGGGACGGAGGAACCGCCCCTGGGCTCTTCCTGGTCCCCCTCCTCCCCCTCCTCCTCCTCCCCCTCCTCCTCCTCCTCCTCCTCCTCCTCCTCCTCCTCCTCCTCTTTATCCTCCTCCTCCTTTCCTCCTCCTCCTCCTCCTCCTCCTCCTCCTGAGCGAGGTGCGCGCGCCGAGCGCGTGGAAGGTGCGCACAGGTGACGTGTTGGACGTGTTTGAGGGAGGCCCCTTTGCCCGTGGACGACGACGGAGGGGACGACCCGTTGGGGTTAGGGCTCGAGCTGCAATGGATTTGATTGCTTGCCTCCCTGCCCCCCGCCCTTTTAGATTTCTTTCTGGTACCGCCTCTTAGGGGGGGCGGGTAGAGGACTGACAGAGTACAGGGATGTGCTGACATGTCCCTACCACGCCTGCGATTGAGCTGTGAGTTGCAGAGCGTTTGGACTGGCACCTGAGGTTGCAGATTTTCAGAATGATGTGTGGGTAGGGGCCCTTGTATGGGGCCCAGCCAGCAGACACCTGCGAGTCCGTGGCGTTCCTCCTCCTCCTCCTCTTCCTCCTCCTCTCTTCCTCCCCTCCTCCACCTCCTGCTCGTTCTCCTCCCCCTTCGCTTCTCCGAGGACTCGACCCAGGGCTGGCCTGCCTTCCGAGGGGGAGTGGGGGTCCACCCCGATCCTCCCCAGTTTGCGTGCTCGATGCCAGACCTCCAGTCGTCCGGCCTGGTGAGAAATGCAGACTGTTCTGCGGGAGGCTGGCGATCGCCCAGGCGGTCGGGCCCGCTCGACCCCCCCCCCGTCCCCTCCGCGGGGCCCTCGCAGCGGTCGGCTCGCAGGGCCCGTCGGCGCCCGCCTGCCCGCCGGGCGCGGCCGGCGAGGCTGCCAGGCGGCGGGGCCATCGTTGGCACCCGCAGGTCCAGCTCATGAGATCTTGTAAGATGGCAGAGGCTGCTCAGGAGGGGAAACGACACACACACAGACGCAGTTCACCGTCGATTCCTAGGAAGAGGTGGGAACATGTGGACAATGGGGGGAACAACGAAAACCCCGAAACTGTGGGGAAATCTGGGGCATCCTGGAATTTGTGTGTATCTATTTGTGTGCCCTAGGGCTCCTTCACCTGTGTGTGTGTGTGTGTGTTGACAGGGTCCGGCGATAGCCCAGGCGATCGGTCCCAGTCGCCCCTCCCCACCGAGGGCTCGAGCTTGTCGCCTGCGCGGGACCGCCACGGCGTCGGGGGTGCGCAATATGCTGGTGCGCGCGGCCATGCGCGGGGCTGCCCCGAGCGAAGCGGCACCTCCTCCCCCCAGCCATCAGGAGGGGAAAAAACACACAGACACAATTAATCGGCGATTCCCAGAAAATATGGGGAAATATGGGCAGTGGGGGGTGGAGACAAAAACCCAGAAAATATGTGAAAATATTGGGAATCCTTTTATTTGTGTATATTTATTTGTGTGTCCCAGTTCCCCTTCAAACCAGACACTTTTGGAGCCTCGCCAGGAAATAAGCAGCGATCGCCTGTGGCCGGGACGTGTGTTCGCCGTCCTCGGCCTCCGGGGGCCCTCTGGCCGAGCCCCGGGGCCGTCGAGCAACGGCTCCCTCTGTGTGGAAAGCGGGTCCTGGGGAGAGGGTCGGGATTTCCAGGTCCATCCAGGTCCATACCGATCCGGGGCCGATCCAGGCCGACCCCTAACAAATAACCAGACAACAGTTTCGAAGGCTCCCTCGGAAGTTTTCGGAGGTTCTCGTCGGCTCCTGGAGGTTCTGTCCCTTCGGGATTTTCTCCAGCGGCTGTGCCTCGCCGAGGGCGTTTCGGGGGGGCCAGGATCGTCCCGAACGGTCGCCGGAGGCAGGAGATGTGACCCGAAGGCCAGATCTTCGACGACACGTCTTTGTCAATCCTGGCGTCTTGCCTCGACCTCGGCCTCTGGGCCCGTCATGGGGCCCCAGGGCCATCAGAAACGGGTCCGGCTCCAGACCGGAGGAGGAGGAGGAGGAGGAGGAGGAGGAGGAGGAGGAGGAGGAGGAGGAGGAGGAGGAGGAGGAGGCGGCGACTGCCCGCGTTCCTAGCCGACACGTGCGGACGCTGGAAGCTGGTGCTCTGCAGCCAGAGCGAGGGCGTAGATCGTCGCAAGGACGCTGCAGAACCAGCTCCCAAGAGGCGGAGGGGCGAGACATCTGAGGGCAAGGATAGGTTAATTTTCCGGAGTAGTAGGCCCACCAAAGACGAGTTATTAGATACAGTTGCCACCGAGATCTCGTGGGGGTCATCGGAGCGTCGTTTTGTATATGTTACAGACTCGCGAATTATAGCGCAAATTGTGTGCGGACACGCGCAATTGCGTGACCCTAAATTCGAAGTAGTTTTCAACCGAATTTTGGAACGAATTGCAGGTCACCTCCAACACGGTTGGTGCCCACCGCAGACACACCGAGACCGTGTACAGTGGTGGAGGCGTTGCCACAACAAGGTGGCAGACGGTCTCGCGGACCATACTATGGACCTCAAGCGCTCTTGGTCCGACGTTTTCGATACCACCGTGGAGCTAGCACGCGCGAGTGTAGTGATACAGACCGACGGCGGCGTCCGGGAGGGCGACTGCGCCGCAGCAGCATTTATAATCGGTTTGTGGGCCGGGGCACCAGGAGGCTTTACATACGAGCCCCTGATGGTCCATGGTTTTTTTCTTGACCCGCCTTGCAGTGTCTTTGCGGCAGAAGCAATAGCGTTAGACGAAGCTTCGAGGGAAGTGGCCCGCCTTCTTAATCAGTAGTGCTCAAACGGCTGTAGCTTAGGCTGCTTGCGCTGCGCCAAATAAATACATAAATAAAGAACTTCAGAAAGAAAAAAAGAAATAAAGGAGGAGGAGGAGGAGGAGGAGGAGGAGGAGGAGGAGGAGGAGGAGGAGGAGGAGTGGAAGGAGGAGGACGGGGAGGACGGCGGAGGAGGGAGGAGGAGGAGGAGGAGGAGGAGGCGGAGGGAGGAGGAGGCGGCGGAGGAGGAGGAGGCGGAGGAGGAGGAGGAGGAGGAGGAGGAGGAAGGAGGAGGAGGGGGAGGAGGTAGGAGGAGGAGGGGAGGAGGAGGAGGAGGAGGAGGAGGAGGAGGAGGAGGAGGAGGAGGAGGAGTGAGGAGGAGGAGGCGGGAGGAGGAAGGAGGAGGAGGAGGGGAGGAGGCGGCGAGGAGGAGGAGGATGAGGATGGAGGAGGAGGAGGAGGGGGAGGAGGGGGAGGAGGAGGAGAGGAGGAGGAGGAGGGGAGCAGGAGGAGCAGGAGGACGACGAGGAGGAGGGGAGGACGAGGAGGAGGAGAGGGGAGGAGGAGGAGGAAGAGAAGGAGGAGGAGAGGTGAGAAGGAGGAGGAGGGGGGGAGTGGAGGAAGAGGAGGGGGGAGGAGGAGGAGGAGGAGGAGGAGGGAGGAGGAGGAGGGAGGAGGAGGAGGAGGAGGAGGAGGAGGAGGGAGGGAGGTTGGATGTGGGCGGGCCGCAGGGTGGATGGGGTGGTTGCTCTGCTGCTGCCCCCGTCCTCCGTGCCGCCGGGGGGGGGCGCTGCCGAGCGCCAGCGGGACTCGACGGGACGCTCTCCCCCCAGCGTGTGCGCAGCAGCAGGAGGTGAGGTGAAGTGAAGGAGACGACCACGGAGGCGGCGGCGGCGGCGGCGGCGGCGGCGACGACGACGACGACGACGATCTGCTCGTGAAGGAAGGATCACTTGGTGCTCGGGAGGGGCTTTGGTGGTCGGGCCGCTCCCGAGATGCGGGTTTCGCGGAGCAGGTTCGCGGCCGGGGCTCGCTGCTGCTTGAAAACAAACTCCTTCCCATATGGCGGCGCGATTTGGTCGGTCCCCGGCCCCAGAGGTCTCCCGACCCCTTCCCGAGAGTAGCCTTTCGTGTCCTGGATCCATCTCTGATGGTCTGGGGGCTCGCTGACGGGCCCCAGAGGTCGAAGTCGAAGAAAACGCCTGGTTCGAAAATGCCGTGTCGTCGGTCCCTCAGGGGCGCCGCGCGCGCCGAGAAATCTTGTAGTATAAGCTCCGTGGCGAACGTTTTCTGGCCTCACCGCTCGGGAAGCGATCTACTACAAGGTGGTTGTAGTGTATGTTCGGGTCGGACGCACGCCTCCGAGGAGCACACGCAGTCCTAGTGTGTCCTTTTGCGTGTCGTGTCGTGTCGTCCCGCCAGGTGGACGACCGGGGGGAACAACGGCAGCAGGGGGCAGTGGAGGGCCGAAGTCGAAGGAAAACGCCCGGATCGAAGAAATCATATCGTTAGAGACCTGGGCGCGACGACGGCGCCGACGTGCTCGGTGCCGAGACGGCGGCGGCGGCTTGCTGGCAAGGAGGACGCGGCGCAGCCGGCGGTCTCGGCCGCGGCGCCCGCGGCCAGCGAGAAGGGCAGGGCGGCCAGGCGCTCGGCGTCGTCGTCGCAGGATCGAGGCTCGAGGCTCGAGGAACGAGGAGGAGGGGGGAGGACAAGCTAGGTGCGCTCGCGTCATATCTGACATCCTACCCCTCCCTCCCATCCCTTACCATGGCGCAGATCCCCTCTCTACTCGCACAGTCGGGTGTCAAGCAGGGCGATCATCCCGAAAGGGTACGCGAAGCATTGTAGAGCACGGCATGGCATGGCGTAGAAGAGCACCGCGAAGCGTAGTATCAACCTGGCATTGCATTGCATGCCGTGGCATGGCACGGGAAATGACGCCAGCGCTGCAGCGGGAGCACGAGCGGAAGCGCGGAAATGAGGCCAGCGCTGCAGCGGGAGCACGATTCAGAACCAGCGGAAGCACGGAAATGAGGCCAGCGCTGCAGCGAGAGCACGATTCGGAGTGAGCGGGGCCCGAAAATGAGGCGGGCGCCTCAGCGAGAGCAGCATTTTGGGGAAAATAGCAGGCGAAAACCTAACTCCGTCCAGCAGAAATTCAGCATTTTCAACAGAAAAAATTCTATTGGAATGGCCTTTTTTCGGCGCCACCTCGGAACTCGATTTTCTGGCGCCGGCCGGAACCGGCTCCGGACCCGGCCCGGGCGCCGGCCCGGGCGGCGGCTCGGGCGGCCGGCCCGGGCGCCGGTTCGGGCGCCGGCCTGGGCGTCGGAATCGGCCCGGGAGGTCTCCCGGGCGCCGGAAGCAGAAATTCAGTATTTTCAACAGAAAAAATTGTATTAGAATGGCCTTTTTTCGGCGCCGCCTCGGAACTCGATTTTCCGGCGCCGGCCGGAACCGGCTCCGGACCTGGCCCGAGCGCCGGCCTGGGCGCCGGCGAGGCTCGGGCGTGCAGCCCGGGCGCCGGCGGAAATGGTGCCAGCGCTGCAGCGGGAGCACGATTCGGAACGAGCGGGGCCCGAAAATGATGCCGGCGCCTCAGCGAGAGCAGCATTTTGGAAAAAATGCAGGCGAAAACCCAACTCGGGGGAAACCTGTGTAAAAAAACAGTACGGGGGGGGGGGGCGAACATTTCCCAAGACGTCATCAGGGGAAGAGGAAGATTAGTATTCCATATTTGAGTAATTGTTGGAGGAGGAGGGGGGAGGAGGAGGGGGAGGAGGAGGGGGAGGAGGAGGGAGGAGGAGGAGGAGGAGGAGGAGGAGGAGGAGGAGGGGAATAGGAGGAGGGGGGAGGAGGGGGAGGAGGAGGACGAGGATCGACGGTCGAGGATCGAGGATCGAGGATCTAGGACCGAGGAGGAGGAGGAAGGACGGAGGAGGAGGGTAGGAGGAGGATTTGGAGAGGAGGAGGAGGAGGAGAGGAGGAGGGAGGAGGAGGGAGGAGTCTCGGAGGAGGAGGAGGTTCGAGGTTCGAGGTTCGAGGTTCGAGGTTCGAGGTTCGAGGTTCGAGGATCGAGGAGGAGGAGGAGGAGGAAGAGGAGGAAGAGGAGGAGAGGAGGAGGAGGACTAGTGTAAATCCAAGCCTCATCACTGATGTTTGGACGCGCCCTCCCTCCAAGCTCCTCGTCACAGACCCTTGCAAGGGTTCATTTCCACTGAGGGAAATGCGCCGTTGGGAGACAACCGTGTGAAAATCCTGACGCGTGCCACAACACCATTCGCCAACACCACTAGTCAACCTGACTGTTGCGTCTTGTTGATCCTGAGTCGTGCCAGAACAACATTCCTGGGACTTCAACGCCGCGGATCAACGTGACTGTTGCGCACTGACAACTCTGAGCCGTTCCCAAACGTAATGTTTGGAATGTTAGCCATGAGAACCCGTGAAACTCTTGCAGCTTCTTCAGACGAGTGTGCGCGGTGCTACGGCGAGAGCCACGTTTTGAAAATGAGCCGCCCTCAATCCGTGACACTCCTGAAATTTGTTAAAACGAAAGTGCGCGGCGCCAAGGCGAGAATCGCATGCTGAAAACGACCTGTCCTCAATCCGTGAAGCCCTTGCATTTATTGCGACGAGTGTGTGCGGCGCTGAGGCGAGCACCGCATTTTGAAAACCACCCGCCCTCCATGTGTGAAGCTGTTGCCAATTTTGAAGCTTCAGGGACATCTATGGTGAGGAAGTCTCAGGCGAAACAACTGGCCTGCCCTTTCGACCGGCGTCGTGGTGCGACAGAGAGGAGTTCTTCATAAAGAAAACGAATGGAGGATGAGGAGGAGGAGGCGGAGGAGGAGGAGGAGGAGGAGGAGGAGGCGGAGGAGGAGGAGGAGGAGGAGGAGGAGGAGATGGAGGAGGAAGGGGAAGGGGGAGGGGGAGGAGGACAAGGAGGAGGATGATGATGATGATGATGAGGAGGAGGAGGAGAAGGAGAAGGATGAGGAGGAGGAGGAGGAGGAGGAGGAGGAGGAGGTTTAGGTGGAGGAGGAGGATGAGAAGTTGCGGAGGAGGAGGAGGCGGAGGAGGAGGAGGAGGAGGAGGAGGAGGAGAAGGAAAAGGAGGAGGAGGAGGAGATCCGTAGCCATTTTGGCTCAAGGCTAAACGTTGTGAGGGGCTATAGACGCCCGAGAATCAGCGATTAGTTTTGGCCGCATCCGTGGCCATCTGTCGAGGCCGGAGCGGCCAGAGCTTTGCGAGCACGTCCGCCACGGCGAGCCGCCCGCGCGGCCGTGGCAGCAATTTCAGTGAGGAGAGTTCCCGTCAGCCATGGCGGCAGGGTGGTACTGCGGCAAATGCGGGTTCTACATTTACGGGCATCGTCGCACATGTCGTCAGGCAGAATGCGATGGATGCAATCCATATCAAGCAGTGCAGCCAGATCAAGGATACTGGCCGCAGTTCATGGTGCCAGGGGCCGCCTGGCATCAAGGCCCACCTGCGCTTCGCAAAGGCGACGGGGGCAAGGGCGGCGGCAAGACTTACAAAGGCGGGGGGAAGAAAGGTGACGGCGGAGGGGCACCTCCGCCAGGCAAGAAGGGTCCTGGCAGCGTGCCGCCAGGCAGAGCGCTCGCGCCTGAGGAGCGCAACATGTGGCTTCAGATGAGAGGGGGGCAGTTCGCCGTCTTGGGTCAAAGTTTGTCGCAATCACACAGGGGCCAGCTCACCCGCGCCCGAGCCATGGCGAACTACGGCTTGCAAGGCGCGCAGGCGGAGGCGCAGCAGGCCCATCTGCAGATTGGGAAGTTCTCGCAGCAAGTGCTGCACCAGAAGCAGAGGCTCGCGAAGTTGGAGGAGCAGTCGTGCGCGGCCATCGTGGCGGTGCTGGAAGCGAAGGAGCAGCTGCGCGAGACGGAGACGCAGTTGGAGGAGGCAAATCACAGGGCGGCGCAGCACCTGGGTCAGCAGGCAGCGCAGCCGCCCGCGGTCCATGCGGCTGAGGTTGAGGGGCCAATCAAGGAGGCCGTGGGCAAGCTCAAGGAGGCGGTGCCGCAGGAGGTGGCGCCGCAGCTCGCTGAGGCCTTCGAGCACTTCGGCAAGGCCATCGAGGAGGTCATCCAGAAGGTGCGCGCGGCGGAGCCAGGCCGAGCAGGGCCAGGCGAGGCGCCCCCGCGGGGCTCCGCGCAGGCCAGCGCGGCCGCGGCGGGCGGCCAGGCCGCGGGCGCGGGCGCCGCGGATGCAGGAGATGTTCAGATGGGCGGTGACGGTGATGCTGGTGCTTGGGGTTCTTGGTCTGCAGAGATCCGTGGGCAGTTTGAGACGCACGAGAAGCTCGAGGATCCAGGAGTGCAGGCCGCAATCCAGCCCCTGTTCGACAAGGCCCAGCAGCGGCATCAGGAGGACAAAGGGGGGATTGACAAGCGAGACGCCCGCGGCAGGAGCCCATGCAGATCGAGGGCATCTGAGGGATCCAAGCAGCGAGTTTAGCAGTCTGTGGTCGTTTTTTTTTTTTTTTTTTTTTTTTTTTTTTTTGCACGGCCAATGTCGCGAGTTGGCCGCGATGCCACAGTTTTTTGGAGAAGGAATGTGACGGGGTCGCATGCTTCCTGCAAACATGTAAGGTTGTGCGGGCCGACGTGGCCCAGGCTGGAAGCACGCTTTTGAAGGCAGGTTGGAATGTTAGGTTTGGAGCCTGCGCGGTGGCCCAGTCTGGAGGGCTGTCATCGCGGGTAGGTGTAGCCTGTAGAATAGGCGTAGGCGTGGGGGCCATGGAAGGTATGCCTCGACCGACCTCAAGAGTTGCCTCGATATGAATGGGTGGACTTGTACGTGGAGGTGTGATATGTTCCTCGGTGCATCGGCCGTCCGGGGATGGTGCTGGGGCCCAAGGGCGCCAAATACTTTTGCAGCTTGGGGGGTTCCTGCACTCGTCTGGGAAGCCCTTCGTCATTGGGGGGGGGGGGGCTTTAGCGCCGCGGCGGATGATATCAGAGATCTTGGGATCCTTGAGAAGTTCGGGGGAGTAGTGGTCCAGCCTGTGCAGCCCACATGCAGGGTGGGCAAAGAGTGGAGAACCCTGGATTATTTCATCGTGTCAGGTGGTCTGGTGTCACCAGTGGTCAGGTGCGATCGAGCCGACGAGCGAGACGGAGCTGTCCACGCATTATCCTGTTAAACTTGTGCTCAGGACTGATTCGCATCTGGCCCGGATTCGCGTTCTGGCGAAGCCTCGTCCTCTTCCCGATGAGCTCCCAGTTGGGCCAGCACCGGAGCCGCCGCAGGCGTGGCAAGAGTTTCTAGATAGGTTGGAGACCTACGCCGCGGGCTCGAATTTCACAGCGGAGCAGGCGAGGTTACGCGTGCAGAGTCCTGTGCTTTGGCAGAGCAGGGGCTGGCGAACACCTACCTGGTGGACCCAGCGCAGGCATATGGGTTGAAAAGGGGGAGGGGCGACTTTCAGGTTTATTTGGAGACCAGCTTTGACGAAAGTCGGGGGTCCGTTCCCTTTGGGTTCTCCTGTGATGAGGGCGATGAGGAGATATAACGTCAGGATCGAGGAGTTGATGTTTCTGGTCCGCAAGGGCTGTCATGAAGGAAGGAGTCAGCAGGTGCACGGTTTGCTGAACATGCTTCGGGGGCCACCGAAGATC